AACTAAAAACCCAATTACAAATGAATACTCAATAGTAATGGGTTATCCAGAAGAATATAATTTCAAGTTTTACGACGATGATTATATTAATTGCAACATTCGCAAATATATTAGTTCCAACTATGAAGAATTGACTTGGAAAGAAAAATTAAAATACTTATTGTGTATTATCTATGCACTAAAAATAATCTACGAAAAGGAACTTGTGAATAGTGACTTTCACCCTGGAAATATATTATTACATGTTGATGCTTTCATCGCAAATTTTGGCCTTACCGACCCAACAGACATAAAAAATCAAGAAATTTACGGAATAATTCCCTATATGAGTCCAGAAATATTAAGTGGAAAGCCATACACTAAGACTGCAGATATTTATAGTTTTGGAATGGTCATGTACGAGATTATAACTGGTGAACGACCATTCGATAAGCGGAGTCATGATAAAAATCTCGTATGTGATATCTATAAAGGAATACGACCTACAATACCGAAAAATATCCCCAGGTGGTGCAAATTTACTATTGAAAAATGTTGGGATCCTATTCCAGAAAACAGACTAACTATTGAGAAGCTTGAAGAAAAATTAAAAAAATCACAAAAAAGCAAGCTTGAAGAAAAAGCATTCCTACGAAAATTAAAGAGTTTCTGAAAATGAAATTACAAAAAAAGCATTCCCGCGAATATAAACAAGAAACATCAAATCCATTCAAATGCAATTTGCATCAGTCGAATTTTTACTTCGAAATTAATATCAATTCCAACTGTTACAGGTATGCACACTTATTTTGATATTCAATCAAATGAATTTCAGATTGATTTTAAATTTATCAAACATTTAGGTTCTACAAGTGTTAGTTTGTATATTCCAAGTGAAGGTAAACTTACACTTGATATTCTTTCTTTATCGCTATCATTTTCCTTAATTCAATATTTTTCTTTGGTGATAAAAAACAGATTTCAATGTTAGTATATCACACGAAATTAGTCTTAAACGTGAAGATAATCACTCTGCTTCAACTCCTCCCACTAAATCACTAGTATCAACAACAATAACCATTCCAGAGCCAAGTGTAACACCCGGCAACGGTGTTTATGACGCTCAGCATGAGGACATGAGTAGTGATGGGCAAATACACGTATAGTCGAACACTTTAGCACTATATGTATGGTATGTATAGTATAGTTTGTATAGCGATACAGACATATCGATAATAATAACTTTTGCGAGATATTTAGTATTTGAGAAAAAAAGATCAATATTAGGATAGAAAATATCAAGACATGTCTATTTTAAAAAGAAATTCTAATTCAATTAGGTGATTAAAAGTTTAACGTTAGAAGAAAGCATATCGATATTTCATTATCATTCTTCTAATATATTATAGCTTGTAGATCTTTACCGAAACACTTCTTGCAAAATTATTGGATTTTATCCTGACCGATATTGATACATGTAATACATATCGATATAATTATTATTATTGAAAAACAATCCGTGGATATTATTCGTAATAATTTGTTGTAATAGTTGATGATCATCGGAAAATTCACTCATTTACTATTAAATTTTCTCCAAAAAAATTGTTTATCTTAAAAATAACTCTTATTTTTATTAATATCCTTGACTTTCGCCCTATACCAAAAAAAACTTTTTACAGATTTTAACTATTATTTTAAAAAAACAAATCGGTTAATATTCCAAAATCCTTTGAAGTATCTTGTTTTAAAATTGATCAATTAACAATAGCGATCGGTGGATAAGATGCCGGAACCATGTAATGGATTCCGACAACGTCATCTACATGTATAATGTAGCGGTAGTGTGGAACAGGAAGAAGATTGGAAACAAGGTAACGGTAACGGTAAGTGAAGAATTGATAGAAAATCAATCTTACATTAAGATATTGAGATAATAAATTATCGTTATTAAGACACGTAATTACAAATGAATATTCCTATATCATTATCGTTATCGTTATATAATTTACAGATTATGTAAAGAAACTTGCTATTATATTTTCTTTCAGTGAGAACTAACGACGATTATAATTAAAGATTGAGAACTAATGACGATTATAGTTAATGATTAAAGAAATCCGTATAGAAGCTATATGAACATCCGGTTTACGCGGTAGATAATTAACGATAGAGGTAATAATATTGCAAAATTCAAGAATTTTTAATGTAAACTTTAACACATCCTTCTGCAAGTGCAGTTATCGTTATATAATCATGAAAAACTACAGAACTTTATCGATAACGATAATTTTAAATACGTGTATATACAAAATGAATTCCAATAGCTCACCAAAAAATGAAAATGAAAATTCAAATTGAAATAATGTTCTTTTATTTAATGAGTTTCTTGAGACGAATAATTTTATTTATAAAAATATTGAAGAAGATGGTGATAGCGATAGTACATTGGATGATGATGATGATGATGATGATATTGCTATTCGTAGTATTTTATCTGATAATAATTATGAAGAAAGTATTATTTATGAATTAAATAATGATAATATGGATACATTTACATTAGATAAAGATTGTCTTGGATTATGCTGAGGAAATGGAGGCATTTAAGGCGAAAAGATATTATTGGCAACCCCCGAAAAAGCAGAAGTGTTATTTTCATACCAATTGCTTGTCCTTTCAGAAAATTTGGAAGATATACCCCTTTTTTTCCGAGAAGAGTTAAAGGAAGTATTTACCGGTGAGTTAATGCTAGTGGCGTTAACATTAACAATGATAAATGATTTTTTTCAATTACTGAATTATAATATACTGATGCAGCTGAAACAATAATTGATGGCGTTATCTCATTGGAAATAGATTCTGACATTAAATCTTTATCGCTTTGTGTTATTCTTGATATTATAAATGGTCAGATTAAACAATGTGGCAATATTTCTAAGAATCAACGGCCTCTTGCACAATTATTAGAAGCTTGGGAAATTGAAAAGAAGTATTTAAAAAGCATATAATAATGGAAATATTCAAAGTCTTGGAGTTTGTTCATCATATTTTTCTTATGATGCTGCTAAATTACATCCAATTATAAGTAAAAAAGAATGATCTATTAAAAAGAGTTGGGTATATACAAAAATGTATTTGATCATGTATATTTTGCAATAAGTATAAGTCTTTTCTCAGTAGAAGACACAATTGTATTGGGAAGAAATATTCAGATACGCTGTTCAGAACTAAAAATATGTCCAGTTTTTAAGGAAGAAGAACTATCTTTTCTAAGTTAACAAATGATTATTTATTTATGATATATGCTTTAATTCATATGAAAAACATATATGTGAGCATTCCAAAACTGATAAAAATTGAAATTTCTCATGTGAAAAAAACATGATAATGTTTCATATCAAAATATTCTTCATTAGATTTATACAGAAGTAAAAATCTGAAATGACAAGAAAGAAGTAAAATATTCAGAAAGTAATTATTCTGTTATATATTTATTTCTAGAATATCAACTACATGAAAAGTTTCTGAAGCTTAGAGACAAAGAGCTAAAAATTCAAAATATATGGTTTATGATATGATAAGTTTGTTAGGTGAGAGATTACAGACTTCTGTTTTTCTAATACATTATCTAAATAGGATAAAATAACTATTTCTTGAACTCTATTCAAAAAAGTACAATAATAATGACAAACTGCTATTCAAGTTTTAATCAAAATAATTTGATAGTTTCAAATTATACTATAACATCTTTTTCAGATGTATTATAAACAAAGCACAAGCTGTTCTTAATTTAAAGATAGATGATATCTATTTTTTTATCTCTATCAAAAGCAAATATATTAAATCATTGAACAAGTAAACTTGTGCTGAAATTACCAATATAAATTAAATACCAATTGAATTCAATATCTTTACAAAGAGTATCACTTATGATACATATAAAATAAAAGTATTTGAATGAAATCAAATATATAAAATTATATATATTAATATTATTACTGCATTTAAGAGAAATCTGAATTCATATTTGAAAAATTGAATTGTATCAAAACAACTTTCACTTTAGAAAGTGTTCTTTCTTATCACTTTACAAACTTTAGAGTAAATTTGTTTTGAATTATGCATTATCGCTCGTATAAATTGTTGAAATCTATGTTCTCATGAATCCAATCGACTCTATCCAACCAGGTTTTTTTATATATTGATCAAAGACTTACTTTTGCAAGATATTCAATGTTGATAAATTTTTTAAAAGGAATTCATTTGAATATTTTATATTTATCATTAATTTTGTTGCATTCTTTTAATAGATTGTCGATTTCTTTATCTCTGCTAGACAAATGCATCCTTATAAATTCCTTTGTAATAAACAGTCATAGGAGATCTCATTTTTTTGACAACAAAACATTTACTACAATAATCAGTATTGTGAACTAAGCACTCATCACAGTATCAATTCTTTCGACGACGTCGTCATTTACTACAGTAATAAATACATGTAAAACGTTACATGTACACGCACATGTAATTATAATTGTAGTAATTAAGCATTATTTTTTTGCTTCCCTATATTCTTCTTTTGATTGGTTTTAATGGTTCATAACTTCAAAAATCAACCAGTATGGAATAAATGAGAATGATTTCATATAACTCTTCCTTTTATTTCTCAAACCAATCAGTTTCTTAAAACTTAAATTTGTAATTATGGAAGAATTTTTAATCTTTACAGATATAAAGTAGAAGAATGTCTCTTTTCCTGAAAAGATACTTTGCAAGATAAATCTGAAACAGGCATCTCTAAATCTAATATTGCCTTTAACAAATTAGTTTAATGCTCGTTAAACTTTATGGAAATTCTCTCTTGTGTCAAATAGTTTAAAGTTAAAACTAATGAATTTATTGAGATTTAATTTAACAATAAAAAAATAAGACACGATTAAACATCATAAATGCATATAATAAAGTAGCTTAATTTCTGCATCAAACTAAATGATTCAAAAATAATGAATATTCAGCCATTAATGAACTTCCGCGAGTCCCGAAGCTTTATCTTTTTCTACTCGATGAGCTCTATATGCTGCAACTACAGTTGCAAAATAAATCTATCAAAACGATAATAAAATAAATTTGTTAAATTAATTCTTTCAGAAATTAAGCAAGACAGATTCCGCCTCCCCGCATGCAAAAAATAACTTACTGAAATAATAATTATAAGTATATCTTCAATAATAGCAATTAAAAGTACGTTATTATACGTTGATAGACACGTGTCCTCTGAGTATCCATCCAGATCACAATAAGAAAGAAACGAATCTTTAAGTGAAAGTAAGAGAATTATTTCGGCGATGCTGTTGATGATGTAACGTGCCGCGATTAACCATGCAATTATCACGTAAGTTTGCGTTATTTTCTGGAAAACAAATATAATAACGACAGTGAATTCAATCAAAATCACGTAATTATTATGCATTAATTATTTACAACTTACCGCAAAGCTTACGACGATTAATCCGTAAAGTGCCCCAATTACAGTGAATAATGCCATTATTCCCGTGATGAGAGTAAATGTGTATATATATGAATAGACTATCAAATTAAGTCATTTGAATTAATTAGCAACAAGTATAATAATTGATAACACGTATTATTATGGGGATGCAACGATTTTACAGTTATTTGTATCAGTGCTTCTGTATGCCATGATGTCAGCAATGGCTTCATAAAGACCAAACACCTAAAAATAAAAATTGCTTTAATAATAGTTTCGAACCATTGAAAATTTTTATTAATAGTTTAAACTTACAAGCCATAATATACTAATGATTACTACACCAGCCTTTAAATTAATGCAGCAACAACATGTTTTCATGCGTGGCAAGTGTAGTGGTGAAGAGGTTTCAGATGGTCGAGACATTGCAAAAATCTTATTTTCAGCTGATTGAGACATTGCAAAAATCTTATTTTCAGCTGATTGAGACATTGCAAAAATCTAATTTTCAGTTGCAAAAAATCTTATTTCTTGTAAAGATGTGGCGTGAAAAATAATTAGTAATTTTCTTGGTTTAAAAACGATGACTATAACGATAACATAAATTTTGTAAATTAATTTTTTTCTCAAAGGAGGAGTAACTTTTTCGTAAACAATCGCCTTAAATTCAATATAAGCTTTCTATAAATGAAACGAATTTATATTCTATTGCCAAGAATTTCACAAACGCGCCGAATGCATCTTCACAATAAATAATACCAGTTTTGCATATTCTATCAGAGAATGAAAAAAGTAATGATTTTATTTTAGCTCATTTGTAAACTCTAACGCAATTTAGCTTTCATATGTACATGTATTTAGAATGTTTAGTTTAAATTTTAGGATTTCCAGATTTAATGATGTATCTTTCATTAACGTTAACGTTAAATTTATCTTTATTTTTGGCTAGACCATTCAATTTCTGGGTTGTTATGGTTGTACTTGATGATGAGCACATTATTGTTTATAAACAGCATTGTTCAGTTCTTGGCATTGTCGCAACAAAAAATCTAGTGATCGTGGAATATTCTGGAGTGTTACCGAATTTCTCGATTTTGTGCTTCTGTGAGTATTGTGCAACGAAACTTAAAAAATAATTAGGACTACAAGTACATGTATCCGAAACGCGTACGCATAGATCCTACAAAATTTCTTGTAACGTGTAACGCGTTCCCAAAAATTCTTGCTAAAATTCCTACTTTGTAGTATCAATATTGATGTTATCCTACAAAAATTCCTACCTTGTAGTATCAGCATTAACGTCGTTTCCCCAAAAACAATTAAAGATCACCTTGCGCGCACAGGATAGTGATTATCGTCATAGATCTTGACTCAAACAACTATTATTTTGTACGTCATCCTTTATTACAGTACGTGATCCGTAATTATAATTACATTTTGGAAGCAATAGTTTTTATTTTAATTTATTCACCTTTGCATAAATATTATTATATCATTATATTATTTTATATACATATTCTTTTTATTTTTCTTTTTGTGTATTAAAATCCTTAGCTTGTACTATAATGACCCGCAAAAATTGTACTCTAGATAGCTGGGTAATAATGAAAGATAATTGTGTAATGACAAAAACTGTATATATAGGATAGCTCTTAAAGGATTGCGAGACAGGTAAAATGGGTTTGAAGAAAAATAAATATTAAATTTAATTTTGAAACTTACCTAATTGCACTTCAGTTTTTATTTCTTTTGTGCCAAAATGAAATCGATGGCTTTAATTCTCTTTGTGCTTAACAAATTGAAGGCTTTACTGCTTTGGCCATACAAAGTTGATCATTGTGTTTTATTCCTTAATTTTATTATTTTGATGTTGGTATTATTATTTTGATTTTGATATGAGTACCTATTTTAGCCTATCTAGAAAATTGTAATGCTCTATTCTTAGGGTAAGAGTATTTTTACCCAACTTCCCAACACTCCAACATTCTGACACCCAACTTCACAAAATTCCAACCTCCCAACAACACAACATCCTGAAACCCAACATTCCAATAATCCAACTTCCCGACAACCCAACAAACTAGTCTATTATAGGGATCGACTAGCATTTATCGTTATTAACATAATTCTTGGTATTGCGCAACTTTATTTTTAATTCGTTATTAACTAACTGATTTATCATAAAAGATGAATTCAACGTAAATTTTAATTACATATAATAAAAAGTTAAGGAAATTGAACGTAAATCTTAAATAAATAATAAAAGCAACACATATCATTACAAAGAAAGATTGTGCACAATTTCACGAAGAAAATCTAACACTGAACGATTTGCTCGATCATTAATAACATTTATAATTCTTCGGCTTTTGTCGGGAAGTTGGCTTTGTCAGGATGTTGGATTTCGGGATGTTGGGGTAGACACATTTTGAAATAAATGCAGTAAACAAAATAAAAATATATAAATTATGGTCACTCAAATTAATAAAGCGCAACATTCTTTATTCTTCGAAGTTTTTCTTTCAAGCCATTCGATATCTCTTCATTCTCATAAATTTCATCTAAAGCAGGTTTGCAAAAGGATAGTAATAAAATTTGAAATTAATGCATAGAATGTCAAATAATGATTTTATCTTTATTTGATAATGCTTAATTATTTGATATTGAATCTCAATTAATAGGAAAAGCTGTAAATTACTTTTGATTTCAACCTGTTGTTTTTATTCGCATTGATCTGTATTACATGAACATGTATTAATATATCAGCACAGGCATTAGACTTATACTCTTGATATTATTTTTCATCGATTTCGTTAATTATTATTTTTCTTTTTGTGTACGGCTCCAGTCATCTAATCCCAACAAATTTTATATTTCTTTTTTAAATTGTATTCCCTCTTTCTATATCGATATTAGGATTACTTATCGTAATTCGATAGATTTTATCTTAAATTTTCAAGTTACGATTTTAGAATAAAAATTTCATTTCTCCTCTTCGTATGAATTTATTTTCTTTATGATCCCAATTTACTGGCCATCCAACGAGGTTGCATTATAAATTGACACAAAACCTCCTTTTGCAATATATTCAACATTGGTAAATCTTTCAAAGGAATCCATTCGAATATGTTTTTACATTTATAATTAAATTTGTTGCATTCTTTTATAGATTGTCGATATCTTTATCTCCGCTAGACAATTCATCGTTATAAATTCGTTTGTGATATTGAAACAGTCATCTCAGTAAAAATCCCACTGACATCTAGTACATTTACTACAATCATGAGCATTATGAACTAAACACTCATCGCGGTATCTATTCTTTTGACATTCAGTACATTTATTACAATCATGAGTATTTGATCTATCTTTGAGCTCACTTTATATTTGTGTAGTTCACCATAGAATGCATAAGACATTACTATCAAGTAATCATTTGTAACTGGATTTTTAGTCATTCCATAACAAGCTATCAAGTTGCCGAAATCATAGCTTTTAAGACCAGATTGTATCTATTTTTAAAAATTAAATTGTATTAGAAACGAAACAAAAACAACTTTTACTTTAGAAAAATGTTCATTTTTTACCTCGTGTATAAACTCTTGAGTAATTTGTTTTGGATCATGTAACGATTTTAACACAATTTTACTTTCATTTAAATTTATTTTCTTCATGTTCCACCTGGGAATGTAATCAATCCTATAATCCAATGGTCCATCCAACCAAGTTGCGTTTTAAATTGACCCAAAACTTTATTTTGCAAGATATTCAACATTGGCAAATCTTTCAAAAGAAATCCATCGAATATATTTACACAGGTATAATTAATTTTGTTGCATTCTTTTATTAGATTGCCAGCATCTTTATCTCCGCTAGACAATTCATCGCTATAAATTTGTTTGTAATATTTGAAACAGTCTTCGTATCTCACGTTTATTCTACATTTCCAACATTTGCTACAATCATGAGTATTTGATTCCATCTCTGAGTTCAGTGGATAAATTGCGTAAATGATAGAAAACAAACGAGAGATAATCGTTGTCGTTACAGTATATAGTTACGTAATATGTGTATGTAACGGTAGGGATTCAAATTCTATGTGCAACTTTTATTACAATGTGCGCAGTTCTTTTATTTTTTGTGGCGTGTGCATGCATTTAAAAGATGTATGTATTTGTTATCGTCCATTACATTATAGATGTCTAATATGAAGGACATCACTAACTAAATAGTTGTTTAACAGTAAAAACTCATCTTAAATTATAGATATCTGATTTTCATTTAATGCCTCTGGACTAATATGTGTATATTTTTTGATTAAATATTTTTGCGCCGAGCTATTATGAAGCATCAATATGCAATAAATTTTTTTTCAGGGTCCTTCTCACAAATTTCTAATAGAACATCAATAGTATAAAGTAAACATTTCAATTTTGTTTCCATATTACTTCTTCGTAACGGTGGTTAAAAATAACAAACCTTCATTGCAGTGATTGCTTTCTTGACAGTGAGTACATTTTACTATGAAATCTGTAGTTTATCTTGTAAGATACTTATTCTTTTTAGCTTCTATTTATTACATCTTACGATTCTAATAATATATTCAAAATTTACTAATTCATCAGATTGAATTGATATATGTTCATGTAATAATGCATGTTCATGTACATGGCATAGCGTAATAACAAAAACCAGATACGTAATACATGTACATAAATATAATATAAAATTACTTTGGTACATGTACAGTGCTCTAGCAGAATATTGTGGACATTTTAAATTTTAAGTATCAAGTTAAATAAGCAAAATATTAAAAATTTAAATTCTTGAAAAGTATAGCTACAAAGAAAAAGAAATGCCATACAGTAGTTTTTGAGAAAACTTAAATTTAAAGATCTATAATTTTCATCAATACGAAAACCATTAATAAAGTATAAAAACGAAAAAAAATTACATGTATGTGATATCTCGATACCCAGTGGTCGTTATCGCATAAAATTACTACCATTTGATTCGCCATAATAATCCGAATCAGAAGTTTGTGCGATTCCGATCACTGGGTATCGTCTAGAAACATGTGATTACGATTATCACGTGATAAAATATCGTACGCGGCATGCCAAATAATTATGCATTTAATTTATGTGCGATATCACGATCGGAATCGCACAAAAATACCACCTTCCGATTCGTTTAGTCATGAAGAATCAAATGGTGTTAATTTTGTGTAATTTCATTCGCTGGGTATCAAGATATCGCATGTATTTATTTTATATGGTTAGGTGCAAAAAGATTGGTACACCAATATAAAATTAATAATTGTTTCTAATAAAACTCATTCAAATTTTAACTAATCTTATAATTTTTTTATATTAAATAAGAATGATTTAAATTAACTATTTATACTATTTTATTATTCTCTTATACTTTAATTTAATAATAAATAAAGCATTACTTTACTAAAAAAACTAAAATAAATTATTTTTTTTAAAAAAAAAGACATTTTAAATATTGATTAGAACTTTAAATTATGCAAGCAGATTGTCTTTGATTTGATAAATATATGTTCTAAATTGAATCAGATATTAAGATTTAAAGTTTAGTAATTAAATTATTTACTATATAATTTTTATTTATTAATTTTAATCAAATTTTATATAGTAAAATTTAAGAAATAACAATTCAAAAAAGTTTATATTAGTAAAATTTTTTTATAAAAGATATATAATAAAAATTTTTATATTTAAATAAATCCCAATACCTAATAACTAAGACAGAATTAAAATTTTATTTTGAAAAAATAGTCTATTAATATTTATTTAATGTACCAATCTTTTTACACCAGACCATATTATAATAATTTCCTTATGATTTTCGTATTGATGAAAAATTATAAATTTTATAAATTCAAGTTTTCTCAAAAATTATTGTATGGAATTTCTTTTTTTTTGTTTGAAAGTATACTTTTCAAGAACTCAAAATTTTTATTTTATTTTAATATTTTGCTTATTTAGCTTGATATTTAAAATTTAAAAGTGTCCACAATATTCTGCCAATATAAAACAATCTGAAATGAATTAACTAAATATGTAATTATTCTGCATTACGTGGTCTCACATAAACTTTTCCGCTAAGACAAATATTTACAAAAGTAAATTCGTTTTTAATTGGCGAATGAGGATCGACTAATTCGACATGATAATTAAGATATAATAAAAAAATCAGAGTTTTTAACATATTTATCGCTTGGAATCGACCAGGACAAATGCGTAATCCAGTTCCAAAACTAAGATTTGAATTTTTCTTTATGTTGCTCTTGTGTTCATCGAAAAACCGTTCAGGATTAAATTCATGTGGATTATGCCAAAGACTAGGATCTTGATGAATGGCAGGGACATTTATTCTGAAATGTGTGAAGGCATCCCATTTATGCCCGACAACATCGACTTCTTTATTGTTAGTTCGAATAATTGTTAAAGTTTGTGGAGTGACTCGAAGGGCTATAATTGAATTATATGATCAATACCAATATAGCATTAAATGACATTTCAATCCAGCAAACTTACTTTCGTAAATCACTGCTTCAATATATTTCAGTTGGCTAAGTTTGTAAAAAGAGATATTATTTTTGTCGTCTCCAAAAACAGTCTTCAGTTCCTCAAGTAATTTTTCTTTGACCTTTTTATTGCGTTCTATATGTTCGACCGTGAAAGCAAAAGTATTTGAAGTCTAATAATAAATCTGACGAGTTTAATAAAATCACCTCCTCACAATAACTAAAATCTATGAATTATGAATAATAACGAAAGATTGCTTACCGTCAGAATTGACGTATTAATAATTTCAAATAGAAAAATGCTTATTTCTTGATCAGACAAACGTATTGATTTACTGCTCGGTGATTCATTTTCGTCTGATAAATTAGCGTTCAGTAATAAATTCAAAACATCCACTTTTCGATTAGATGAATCTTCGTTCCGAATTTCTTGTTTTCGCTTTTCAATAATTTTATTGTACACAGATTGCGCCTTTTTGGATATTTGTAAATATTTTTTAGTCTTCCACCAAAAAACAGTTCTTGCCAACACTTCAGGCACATACTGAAAATAAAAAAGCGCTTTTGCGCCGTTTTTTAATTGTTGGTCGATACCTTCTCCCATTTCGTCGATTTCTTTGGCGATATGAACTTTCGGTCCAGCCGTTAAATGATTGAAATATTTGGTCATAATAAATAAATTTTCTCCTGTAGTTGTGCGAATCAAGATATCAAATAATAGACGTAAAGCCCATTCTCTGATATCAATAACATGTTCAGCACCAAGCTTCTTCCAGTGTCCCTGTATCTCTCCAAAACATTCTAAAATAACATCAAACAGCGAATGTTGGTAACTTTGATTTGAGATGGTCTGCTCAAGTAATTTTCGATAATATCGCCAACTTTCGTAGTCGTCGTTCAATATAATAAACCCAAATGTTTGTATGTATTCTTGAAAAATTTTAGTGAGTTTCATTTGAGTGGTAAATGAACTTTTGGTGTTTGGTTGTGTTAGTTTTCCGATTTGATTGACATTATTAAAGTAAATGTTGCGATTTGGTACCCAGAGTTCAAATAAATCTCCATATTGCTGGTGATTTTTTTGAATAAAGTCGAATAGGTCACCACGGATTAAATAAAGATTACCAATTATTGGAAGTGGGAATGGGCCAGGAAGTGGATTTTTACGTGTATAGTAGTTAAAGTAAAAGTGGAATATGTAATAAAGGAATGTTAGAGTTAAAATTTCGAAGAGTTTAATCGAAAGCAAAAAATCAAGATTGAAAGCCATTATTTAATTTTTTTGCTTCATGACGATACACAGCTTTAAATACATGTACACGTAACAAAATACACGTACTATCTACATGTATTAAGTGCATAATTTTGATTCTGTGCGATACAATAATGAAGATTTTCTAAACTACTATTGGTATTAATGAATTAAAATTCTCAATAGATTTCTTAAAAACATTTGTTAAAAAATTTCGAAGGTTTGACCAAAATTTGTTATTTGTTCAATTATATATAATTATTTCTTTAAAAATCTCGTTGTATTCGGATGTAAAGATAATGAACAAGTAGTTTTGATACAGAAATTTTTCGAAACGGATGAAACAAGTTTCTTCATAACCACAATACAACAAAAAATTATTGGTGAAGTTTACGTTGTAAGAAAAAGAATGGAAAAAGGTAAAGTCGCACCTGAGTTGATCTCGCCTAATTGTCATTGCCTATTCTTTCGAAAATATCGAATACCCTCTTCCACGAGCACAAGTACGGTTGCAAGTATCACAAATATTTTAAATTCTTTCAATATCTCGAATGATTCAACTCTCTGATCCTTTACACCTAGTCAACATAAACACTGATTTTTTTGAAACCACATTAATCTTGATTCTGAAACATCGAGTGTATGCTAAGTAATTTTTTGTATTAGAATCTTCCGGCGACTCAAGAGGATTTTTGATAAAATTGTACATGTATAGCGTAACGAATAAAGATAACCAGTAAAAATAAAACCTAAAAACATGTACATGTATGTACATGTACAGTACATATATTACGAAATGCCATACACGCATTGCACATGTAATAGCGATAAACGATAAGTTCGTGATTCCTTATTGCGCCACGAACATTTAATTGGCTGGCGAAAATTATTACAGTCATCGCTATGTTCCACTACAATTTTTCTGACACATGAATTTCTATGATCATCAGAAATAAGCAAAAAAACAAAAATGAAAAACCAATTTTTCTTATTATTTTTTATCTTTATTATTTTTTATACTGGAAAGGCAAATCTGGAATCATAACCTATGGCATTTGCCAAACGGCCTGTAATATGGGCTGGGTGACCTGCTATGCCACTTTTGGCTTAGTCGCCGGTATGAACAAAATAACCAATTTTATTAATTTGATAAATTTTTTGTAACAGTCTTTTTTTAAACAGGAACCATTACCGCAGGCGTGGGCGCTCCTTTCGCCGCACTCGCTTGCAACTCAATTCAAGGAGTATGCATGTCGGCATGCGCGTGTTTATTAATATTACCGATTCCTTAATAAAAACAAAACATTTTTTGTTTTATATAAACAATGTATTATTAGTAAAGTCCATCGAAAATTTATGGTGACGTTATAACACAGAAGTCATAAATCTGATAGAAAATGTCATGGTTGGGAAATATTTTGAGAAAATCTGGGAACAGCATTTGTGATCTCTACATAACGAAATCGAAATCAGTCGGATCAAATCATACGACCGAAAATTCACTTTTTTATAAAATACTGTACTTGTGCTGAGATCGTGATTTTTTTACATTTAGGAGATTATTTTGAGAACTAATCAAAATATTCACAGATCCACAATTGCTAGAAACTGATTCAGTATAATCGAAATGTTATAGTTATTTACACTTAAAAACCCAGGGATTGGCAAAAATGGGTCTATCCCAACATCTCGACACCCATCTTCCCGACTCCCCAACATCCCGACAGCCTAACATCCCACAATCTAATCCCGACAACCAAACATCTCTGACTTCCTGCCAAACCCAACTCAGACGCAAACCAGAAATTGACTTTTTCGGGAAGTTTGGTTGTCGGAAATTTGGATTGTCGAGAAGTTGGATTATCGGGATGTTGGATTATCAGGATGTTGGATTGTCGGGGATGTTGGATTGTCAAGATGTTGGATTGTCGGGGATGTTGGGCAGCATCCGGCAAAAATATATTTCAAGAATATTGATGTTAGTCGGACTTCAAGTTTATCAAATGCTTGGTGTATAATTAATGAAAGAGAGTTGCAAAGTAAATTATGTTTTCTTCATAGAAAAGTTAATTGTGATTTTCCAAGACAGACATTGCAAAACTTCTTAAAGAAAAAGGATAGCATAAAATTTTTATGCAGTATGGGAGAAGTTCGAGATGATAATAAAATATTGGAAGTGTTAGAATTGATTTTTTTTTCTAAGGGTGAGAAGTATTTCTTTTTGTCATAATAGCTGTTACAATCTTCGATATATAAAAAAAATTGCCAAGAATTACTGAAGAGAAATTTAAATTATATAATATTTAAAGATATAATCTTTTTTAGTAATCATTATTTACTAATTTTTAACAATAACTTTATTAATTATAATTTAGATCAATTTAATATGCTATTATTTAGATTATTTGAATAAACAAAATTATCATTAGATAGGTTTAGAAAAATAGTGATAGTAGATATTTAAAAGCAATAAAAACTGATTTTAAAATAAAAATATTAGTTTGCTTGGTAAATTTAGAGAAAGAGTAATAATTTAGAAAAAATTTATAATCTAATAGTATTAAGAATCGCAAATTTAATAATAATATTAAAAAGAGATTTAGAAGTCTTTGATTATTATAGATTGTTAAAATAAAAAAAAAAGATGATTTTAGTTGATTTTATTTATTTTTTGCTTATTTTAAATGAAGAATAATGCTCAAAAAATAAAGTAATAATAGAAAGTAAAGAATTTATTCTTTATTAAACTTTTATTTATTTTAATAAGATAAACTCAAAAATTCATAATTTAAACTTGTAATTACTTAATATAAATAAATTCTTAAATCTTAAATACTGCAAAATTATTTATTTATAATTATTATATAAATAAAATATAATATAAAATTGATTAATTTAATTTATAAATAACTTATTATTATTTAAACATAAAATAATATATTAATATATTTATATAAAATAAAAGAATATATGGGTCAGTGCAAAAATATCCATACCTCAGATAAATATTAATAAATTATTTTTTTAAAATAAAATTTTAATTCTGTCTTATTTAATTAAGTTATTAGGT